CAGTATACTAAGAAGCATCTGTAAATTAACCCTGGAACGTGACTGTTTGGGAAGGCACACTGAACTCCAATTGTCTCATAAAACTACGCCCCTTTTAAAACCGCCACCACACACGGTCAGTTCCCTGCCACCCGTGGGATCCAAATCCTGTCACATGTTCCTGGCCAGTGAAAGCCCTGCTGCTATTCATACTGGGAAAGGAGAAACATATTACTCCGTTTTCCAGCTACCATCTCAGGGAAGAGAAGAGAATTGTAACTGGATCACTCCTTGGCCTTTCAACAGGGATCAAATGTCCTGCCTGTTTTTACAGATTAGAGTAGCTGCCAAGGTTCCAGATCCCTGGGGAAACATCCCACACAGGAGGCTAAATAATGTGTGCTACATGGTGCCCTTAAGACAGCGATTTTCTTAGAGATGACGGGAAGACAGCACGTGACCATGGGTGAAAGTTCTGTAGAGCTGAGGTAACTCAAGCCTGTGGGGCTATCAGATCCCCACTCAAGCTCACTAAACATTAATGTGGCTTTCCAAGAGCAATAAAGCTGTCGTCACTGACATCCTACGTTCAGATTCATCTCGCTTTCCCCTTCAGAGCTGTATTATAGCCCAGCTGGACTACTGCTGTATACTCCTACCCAGTCCCTCTATTTGACACTCCCATCTTTCACGCTGCTTAAGCAATATTCTGAAAGTCCAGCTCTGATCTAATTACTGCCCGTCAAAAAGCTTGATCTCCGATTCTCACTGCCTGACAACAGAATTAAGGTCAGGTTTTCGGCGTGGGAATTGATGCCATTGCCACTCCACCCCGCAGCAATTTGTAAGGCCTGCTCCTTTCTGTGCAGATGCTTACACCCTCGCTCTTGCAAGCAGTTAAGTCTGTCCAGCATTGTCCCTTCCCTCCATTCTTCCATCTCTCAACCCTCTAGGACCAAATCCTACCAGTGCTTAAAGACCCACAAGAGGTAAATTCTTCCAGTGAAAAATGCAAAGAGCACTTCCTGGGTCATAAACAATCAATAATGTCTGATGCCACTGCTGCTGCTGCCATGTGACCTGCCCTTAAATCATCAGGACAACACGGGATTTTAACTGTGGCTCTCATGACACTAACTACGTTCATTTTCTTTTATTTATTCACATATTTATGGATGCCTCGCATCTCCTCATCAACTACAAGCTCCTAAAAATGATCCCATTCTACATTCTTCCTCACACATTGCAGAAAAAGGTTAATTAATTATCACATTTTGCCACAAGAGGGCAGAGTTGGGCCACTGTTGGTACAATCTACAACTAGTAACAAAGGTTTGAGTTGAGTCTTTTCTTCCTACAAGATGTTTATTTAAAGTTAAGTACGAATATTTGTTACATATGACTATGTATACACACTGACAGGGAAGTCAACTCTAAAACAGCAAAATTTTAAAATCAACAAACCAAGTGAAGTATGTATTAACCAAGTTTGATAAAGTATCTAATCTAAGATTCTGAGAAATATCCACCAAGTTATAGCAGTTATTATGTTCTTGGCTGATGAAGAGGACTGCAGCTGATGCTCAGCTGGCTTCCTCTAGACAGCGTGGGATGCCCCTGCCCGAGGAGGTAACACTCACAGTGGGTGTGTCTTCCTCCACAACTAACAGAATCCAGATTCCACCCACATGCTCACAGGCACAACCCAACAATCCCTCACTGAGCCGCCCTCTCTTCCTGGCAATTCTAACGTGTGTCAAGTTTATCGTTAACACAGCCACCACAGCTATTTACTTTAGAAAGTCTTCAAGCAAAGTGTTTCTCTTGCCATCCCATCTCCAATCCCAGGATGGATGCACTTAAAAGTAAATACAATATTTGGAGTATTTTCTGATAGACTAAAGCAGATTCCCAAATGTTCTTTGTACATAGTATCTTTACTATGTCAGTAATTGCATGACAGCTCTGGGATAAAAGAATACTATTGGTTCTATTTGTTAAGTCAACGAATTAAGTATCAGTGTCTTAACAATTTAGGAGCTGCTTGAAAATTAGTACATATAAAAGTTCCCAAGTAGTGTTTTTATTCTGTTCTTCACTGACCACAATTACTTCCTGGGCACTGAACAATCAATAATACTACTACTCCAATTTTTCTTTCTTTTATAACCCAAGGAACCTTAATATACTCACACATACCCATATCACCACTGTGCCAATCAAAGTACAGGAAACTCCCCCATGTCCCCTCTGTTTCTTATTCCACTGATTTTTACAAGGAACTCGATGCTTATCAGGCAACCACTGAAAACCAAGCATCCCAAAGACATGATGTCGCAGACAGGCATGCAGCACAACCTCACTTTGAAACTATGAACTGCTCGGGGCCAATAGTTCATGGGCATCCCACATGGAGATGTCGAGTACAGCTGTTTTCCTCCAACATTGTAAAGACCTGTCGGCACGTCTGGGTGTTTCCTGCGGGGCCTGTAGAGCCTCTGTACAGTGTGGGAACCCATGAGAACAGAAGACAAAACTAGTCTCCTGGAACAGAAAGTAGCAAGTGTCTACTTATAAAACAGCCTTGAAGGTATCAAATATCAAATATGAGCTTCAAAAGCAACTGGATGGGAAGGTACCCTTCCACTAAACCCTTTTCCTAATCTGTGCTCTCTTCAGTTATGGCCTGACAGTAGCCCCAAATCAGGATGTTTCTGGGAAGCAAATAAAATCCTCCTCTGTGTAATCCAGGCCTGGATTTCCAACTAGTCTAACTGACTCTTCAACCTCTGGACCCAAATACCTGAGGCCTTGCCAAGACCTGGACTGCACAGGGCCCCAGCGTGGAACTGCTGCCCCCTAAGATAGCCCTTTTCCCTGCAGAACTAAACGGGAGTTCTGCCAGGAGTCACTGCCTAGCTCCTCCCACAGAGTCTCTGCAGCCACCCATGGCCACTTCAAAGTGGAATTAAACACTCAGTTTTACCTCTTGGTTCAGAGAAAGCGTTTGTCATTTTTCTATCAACTCAGACCCAATTAGCACAGATCCATGAGGAATCCTCATCATGTGTGGAAGGCTGGTCCAGGCAGGAGCTGGAGCACTTAGGATCACAGGGAGGCTGAAGCCCAAGTGTCTATGGGAGGTGAATGAGTAATGGATGGTGTATCTACAGAATGGAGCACAGCACAGCCTGAAAAAGGAGGCTCTGATATGTAACACAGCTGAACCATGACGACAACGAGCTAGAGGAAACCAGCCAGGTGCAGAAGCGTGTGTGTTTGTAAGGTTCATATACCATATACAGATCAGTCAAGTTATGCAGAGAGATAGAATGACCATGACTGGCGGAAGGAAGCAACAGGAAGTTGCTGGTTAATGAGTTCGGAGTTTCGGCTTTGCAAGGCGGAGGGAGTCTGTGAGATGGACAGTCCTGACGGTGATTGTAGCACAACAATGCTTGTTTCCTTATTACCACTGAACACCCACGATTGTTTTAAATGACAAATGTTATATTATGTTAGGTTTTAAAAATCACAGGAACGTCTTTTTGATATGGGGAGCCTTTGATTTTACTAGAATCGTGTCCTTGAATGTTCCCTAGAGTGCTGGAGATGAGTTCGTTTGGATGATCTAGTGTTAAATATCATACATGATATCTCTAAACACAAAGACTCTACTTTAAAGAAACAATGTTCCAACAGGAGTAGTAGCAGAGCACCAAGAATAAACAGAAAGAGGGCCTCAGCAGCCTTCTCCAGGCCTTTAAAAGAGTAGCATGTATCCTTTAGAAAGAAGTCCCAGTAATGTCCCAGCTCTTCAAGCACACATGTGAAGCTCTCACTCATCCCCCTTTCAAAGTGGGAACTATGCTTCCATAGACTACAAATCTACGATGACCTGGGACCTAGCATAACAACAGGAAGACAAAGGCAGACTCCAACCTTGACACTCAAAACCAGCATCCTGGGCTTGTCCTTGGGGGTGGGGGGGCATCCTGGCTACAGTTGCTGAAGAGAATGGCTTCAAATGCAGAGCTCTGGGCTTTCTCCTTACCAGTAGACCTCATCTGTGAGGACATTTCCCACCTGTGTCTTGAGAATGTATGAGGAAGAGAGATGGGTTTCCATTGTCACCCTAGGAAATGCCAGAGGAGGATACATTCTCTTTAGAGGCTCAGAGAAATCCTGTGATTGGACAAACTATTAAGCCTGTTTTCCCACCTGTTAACCGGAAGTAATAATAGCACTTCATTATGAGGTCAGGCAAGAATAAAACCGGTGGCACAAGTTAATGCCTCCATGGTCTTAAGAGTACTCAAAGGGAGCATATGAGATGGGGAGTGCAGTTTCCATGTTTTTACTACATATCAAGCAAATGCTAAAATGTTTACAAACATAGATAAGGTTTATATATGAATAAATAATAACGCAATGAAGCCTCATACTCAATCTGTTTATGAAAATACTTGTCTGTTAAATATCTAATGAGACCTTCCTGATCCCATGCCCTCTCCCTCATGAGGTAACCTTCACTGTCTCTGTTTTGTGCTTATTCTTTGTGACTTACCCTGTTACCACATGCCATGCCCTGCTCCAAGTGTTTTGTGTAAGACACAGCTTTCTGATATGTGCGATGCACCCTGTGGACCTCAGCGCCACCACTGATACCCACCCACAGGCGCAGCTTGGAAGTGACGCCAACGGGCTGTGGATCCAGGCAGTTAGCCTCCTGGGTCTGTATTATGAAACCTGATGTGAGCAGAACACTGACACAGCCAGGCTGGAAACACGCTTCCTGCTTCAAAGAGCATTTATTAAACAGCCACCATACGCCGGGTGCTGGGCTGGACAGTCTAAGAAACAGCTTTTTCCTTAGCTGGCTACTGGCATTTCCCAGAACATCTGGTTCTTTCAGCGCTGTTATCTCTAAACACTGACTTGAAATAAGGCTTTGGCTAGGGGCCCCGGAAGACCCTCGCAGCCCTGAGCCGCCTGGAGGATCAGACACTTTGCATCAGTACCTTCTAGGGGTTCTCAACAGCCATCGGTCCAAAAGGAACCATGGGAAATTCCAAGGTTTCTTCCCCTACCTCCAGCCCTCGGTTCCTCAGAGCCACGAAGGAATCCATGGTCTCTGCCAGCAGGCAGGCCAGACTGCAGCCGTGTAGCCCAACCCACAAGGAAAAGCCTCGGCTTCAACAGCATGTCACTCCCCTAATTATTCCCTGCGCCTGGAATCCAACACAAACAGAACATCTTTCACAAGCAGCTCCCACCATGCACCAGCCTCGGAGCCTCCCATGAACGGCCAAATGCAGGAGGTGCTAAAGGGTCACAGTGCTGGTGAGTGGCTGGCTGTCCCCAAGCCTGTGGGAGAGAGCCTCAGTTACTCTCTAGTCCAGAACCAGCAGAAGTCACGCGAATCCCCAACGGCCTCCAGGTCCTGGGGTGAGAACGGAATGTTGTAGATGAGACCCTAAGAAAGGCCAACAGATGAGAGAGCAATTGTGCCCGAACTACGCTGGGGAAAAGGGCAAGAAACACAGACAGGGAACAGAAAGGCTTCCTCCCGGCTGCACTCCACGTTGTAAACCCTTCACCCTGGTAGGCAGTGGGAGTACAGATGGTCTCCAACGGAATGGCAAAGAAAACTGGCCCCTACTCTGGAACCCTCTACAGTTATTATTTATCTATCTATGTATTTATTCATTTTGAGGAGATAGTCAATAATCTCCAAACGGTGGACGGAGCTGCAATGTTATTTCATGAGGTCAGGGAAATGAGTATGTGAGCCGGGTCTGAAAAGGGAGGGGCTAAGGGTAGGAAAACAAGGGAAAGATATTCAAGACAGCGCGAACAGAAGTGCAAGACCGAGTAAGGGAAAATGTCGACTAAGGGTTTAGGAAAATTTGTATGGAAATTGAATGGTCTCAAAATTCTAGGACATAGTAGGGTTAAGAGTTACTTTCTTATGATTGCAATGATCAGAGTGTGAATTTAAGCACGGTGCAACAGAAATGTGTGGACATATATGGAACTCATATTTATACATCTTATATTTACACATAAGGCTCTTCCTGAAAGCCTTTCATGTCCTGTCTCCTTTAAACTTTTTATGACATAGGCTAAAAGCCAGAAAGCCTCTCTGACTTCCCGTCAGATCTGCATGGAGCGATCTTTTCCTCAGAACTTCTAAGAAGGCTTCTCTTCTTTGGGGCTGTAATTTAAGCCCCCAGTTCCAGATTTGAAAAGGAAATGCAAAGTATCTCTAGTAGCAACTGTGTAAACGTGCCTGTGGTTAAGGAGGGGGAGTATAGGAAGAGGTAGTTGCCCCCCCCCATGTGCCTTTTTTGTATGATAGAACTGGAAAGGGGGAGATACGTCGTGCACAATTGTGCAGTCTCCTCGTCTTCTACGTTAACGAATCGAACACCGCTGCAATCTACACTCATTCTAGGCAACACTTAAAGTTGAAAAGTGCACCATCTCCGTGCGTGAGTCTGCACACGTTCAGTCCGGTTCAAGTCTCTTTCTTCCTGTGGACAGAATTTCTTGGGGATGCTTCAGGACCCTGGCCATATTTCTCCCTAGGCACTTATTAAAACCAGGTGCACGGAAGGCGGGCCTTTAGGGACACAAAAACCTTCATGTGACCCAGAGCTCCCCCTTCCGGTGTGTTTCCTAGAGGCGATCCCTGAGCTGGGTCTGGGAGAAGCAGACAGCCATCCTGGCCTGGCTATGGGAGAGCAGGCCAAACAAGGGTGACTGCTGACGCTGGCGAATGGCCTTCTGGAGACAAGGGGCAAGCGCCCACTACCCACGCACCGGCGGCATCCATGCACAGTGCAAGGACCCAAAGCCACAGCGCTTGCCGAAGTGGAAGAGAAAATGCAGAAGGGAAGGTGCCCAGCCCAACCTGAACCCCAGTCCAGGCGGGTCACGAGGCAAGCGCCCTGGAGGGACGCGGCAGGAGCCGGACTCCCCGGGGAGTTAGCAGCGACACAACGGTTCTGGCTCTGCAGAGCCCGGATCTACACCGCCAGGGACATCACCACCCGGGTCTACACCGCTTACCCTCAGCGCCCCTCGTCGCTCGCTCCTCAGAGGACTGGGGCTGGCCCCGGTGGGGTCAGGTTGCAGGTGACGTGGCGGCCTGGGCGGCGTTGCCCTGCCTTCTTCCCGACTGCCTCTGGGGATTCTGAACCGATTTCTACTGCTTGGGTCAAAGAGCAAGGTCGGCCTGTGTTTGGTTTTTGTTTTTCATTTTCCCTAACTTCAGGTTTTAATTCCCAGGCTCTATGTAACATTCTACCCCTGACAGCACTTGCTTTCCGAAGGAGGCACATGGATTTCTAATGTCCTCAGAAAAAGGCAGCAGGCCAATCAAGGTTAGAAAGCTCCAGCATCCGTAAAATCTAACCATAGAAACCACCACAAGCAGTCACCAAGCACCTTCCGGATTTGGTGCTCTGACTGCCGAATAAAAACTGTTTTCAGCCTTTATGCCTATATCTAGTGAACTGTAACGGTAGAAATTTCAGATCCACACAACCCCAGCGATCTGGGACAAAACTCTGTTTAAACAAGATTCTCAAACTGTGGTCCATGGATCACCTATGGCATCAGGCTTCCTAGGAGTCCTTGGAATCGGGTCAGGATTTAAAACCTACACTAAAGCTGACACACTGGATTAAGAGAAATGAGGTGCAGAAATCCACTTGCTTTGTGAAATTTCACTGTGCTTTGAAAATCACTAGGCCTGACCCACTATTTGGCTTTGCTGACATAGCGCCTGTTTTTCCTTGTGGGGTCCTCCAAGAAAGCTCTCAGCAGTGTAAAGATGTATTTTTTTAAAAAAAGAGGATGGAGGGACGCTATCTATTAAGTTTGGCCCCCGAATGAACGTGCCTCATTTCAGAGTCATGAATTCCTTCATACAAATTTATGCTAGTGTTATTTCCCACTGTATAATACTCTAAGCACATCTTCACGGTTAAGTAGGTGGATTATATGGTGTACTTTCCACTAATCTTAAGCTGTCTGTCATTCTGAGACAGACATTCCGGCCTGGTCTATTTTCCTTCTCCTTTTCTCTCAGTCAACACAGCTTTTATAAGTATAATGGGTGCTTACTCTAGGAATATGGTGACTCCCAAACTACACAGAAAAATCTGGTGAGCTTTTATTAAACTTCCAAATTCACAAAGAATCCCCAAGGCATCTCTACAGGATGTCTGGTTTGTGGGGCATCTCAGAATCAATGAGTTTCTTAAGAATGGTTAAATGGCAAATGTTTTACTGTATTTCACCAAAACGAAGAAAAATACTAGAGGAGAAGTAATTTGACTACCTGTGAGAGTGAACCAAGAAAGAGGGAACTTGGGGCTTGGGAAGAATGAAGCCCAGCTCAACCACAATGCAGAAAGGATTCTCAGGACAATGGTGAGATTGGACACCATGGGGCAGCTGTGCAGTGGAAATGGACAGCAGCCCTCCCAGACTGCCATGATGAGGGTTTGGGGAAATGCATCTCCAACCAAATAAAAGCATAGTGGTTTGGCCTAAGCCCGGCAGCCAACTGAGAGGGAACATAGGGCTAAAAAGAACAGTTGCATAAAAGCCTAAGCAAGTAAATGGAACCTAAGTATGCTATTCCTGGGCAGACTAGACTTGGGACAGGAAGGGCCATCTTGGTCATCTTTAACATTGCACCCTCAGTGATTAATTTAATACACCTAGTCATGATAGTGAGATAGTAACTAGTGATCCCACCAATTTTATAACAAAATTGCATCAAGAAGAAGGGACATAAAAGGGGGGATGGGAAGAAATATGCTCAAAACACATTATGTACCTGTGTGGAAATGTCATAGGGAAATAAAACCTATACGATTAACATAACCAGTCACTTTTTAAAGAAGTGGGAGCTGGAAAGATGGCCCAGCAGACAAAGAAAGACGTCCGTGCAAGCTGGAACCCACATGTGAAAGAAAGAACCCCTGCTCCTGAAGACAGCCCATGGTACACAAGTGGGTACATGCTCAAACACACACACAATCAGTCAATGCAACCCGAAGTTTGAACAAGAAGACAGGGCGAGCACTGGGCACCAAGGTGAGCAGGTAAGATCAATGGGGAACTCTGTGTCACTTAATGGGAATTCTTAAGACAAAACTCAAGGGAAAAGTCAAGATGTGGGTTAGATAGATGTATTAAAAAAACAAACAAACAAACACCCCAGAATACTTCAAAATCATTGCCTCCTGGAAACAGGATGTTGAGCAGGCAGTTCCAAACTTGCTTTTTTTTTTTTTTTTTTTTTTGGATAAACCTTCCAAAGCAATCTGACCCATGTGGGTACATATATTTGGTATTGCCATGTGGATGGGTAAGTTTGGTATCACCATGGGGATGCACAAAGATTTGGTATTATATTCTTAAAAAAATTTTTAGAAACATACTCCTCTTCCAAGTAGCCCCGAAAACAACCTACTTCAATGTCCACTCCCTCGATCAAACTTGCTTTCTCCTCTCTTGAACCAGTTTCCTGCATGCCGCCACTCTTAAACTCTGCTCTCATTCTCACATTTTGTGAGGTTGCTTATGGGGCCACTGCTTACATTACTTGTCTACAGGAATGTATTTCAAATTGTAAGAAGAAAAGCCAAACTCTTCCTGAAAGGCTAGGAGATACACTTGGATTTGTTTTCCTCACCGTGCTGTTAGCTCCCGTCAGTGAGGGGCACAGCTGTTGGAAAGAGTCTTCAGGGAGCCTCCAGCAAGACTCAATCCAAGCAGAAGCTGGGAAGGTGAGTTCTAGCTTGTGTGCCAGGTATCAGTGAGGGTTCTTCCATGCAAACGACAGATGCTCTACTCAAGCAGCCTAAGACAGCGGCAGAATTTACAGGCTGGCCTATTAATCTGGTTTTAGGCAAAGATTGATCCTGGTCCTAAAAGAGTCACTGAGTTCTCCTGCTCTATGATGCTCTACAGCACTGCTCTTTAATTACAGTTTTACATGCCGGAGTGGTGATGAGGTGGGTGGGTAACTACACGACTATATATCACAGTTCCGGGGAGACATGCCAGCAGGTCCCTGTGCGTTCAGGTGAACGGGTACTATTATTGGCCGGGCCTGAGTCACCTTCCAGAAAAGGGAAGATGGGGGAGAAACTGCCGGACTGCCAAAAATAATACATATTACATCCCACTACAATTGTACATAGCAAATGCACTCTAGTGGAGATTTATGAGAACCCAGGCCAATTGGCAATGTGAGCAAAAATGCCTCGTAAATGCTAACACGCCATGAAATGTTGGTTGTGAGTCAGTACCAAGATGTAAGTCTGCACCATCCCAGCCTGGCCAAACTGCACAAGTCCTCCGGTATCTCTGCTCTCCAAGGGGCTGAAGTTTTCATTTTCTCCCAGCAGCTTCATTTGTCACAGTTTCCCCAGCCATTGGCCTCTTTCTTCTAACAGAGTCTGCTTCCAACTGTAGTGAAAACTTGGCTTATGTGATTTTTCAAAGGCAGTCAGAATGGAGAGGGAAAAAAATTCTCAAAGTTGCAATAGCTCAAAACTAAACACGTGTGTGTGTGTGTGTGTGTGTGTGTGTGTGTGAGAGAGAGAGAGAGAGAGAGAGAGAGAGAGAGAGAGAGAGATCAGATTGTTCTCAGCATCCGTCACTCTGAGATCCCCCTAATCTACTGAGTCACTTTCTTGGCCTCATTGCCCCAGTCTTCAAATAAGCCAGAGATATTTTGCTGATATTTGCTGCAATTTATTGAGTGATGGTGTATTAGAGACTGAGTTTAGAGCCCTGAGGATTAGGCAATTAATTGGTAGGGAAATATTTTTTTACCATCTAGAAAAAAAATTCTGATTAATTGACAGTCCTTATTGGAATTTCCATTTTTTCCTAAGGCCTCTTTTAGACATCTGAGTTTTAATTAAGTGGGAGGTGTTCAGCTAGTGCTGAAAATGGGAAGCAGGCTGATTGCTGAGGTTGCCTTTGATAAACTTCTCACTGATGTCAACACTCATACAATACTGCACTGAGCATGTATTAAAGACAGCATGGGGGCTGGGGAAATGGATCCATCAGTAAAGTGCTCACTGCTCAAGCATGAGGACCTGAGTTCAAATCCCTGGAACACTCATATAAAGCTGGATGTGGCGGCACTTGCCTCTAATCCTAGCTCGGGGGACACAGAGACAGGAGGACTCCTGGAGCTCACTGGCCAGTTAATCTTGCCAAATCAAAGAGCTCTGGGTTCAGCAAAAGACCTTGTCTCAAAAAACAGGATGGAACGCCATAGAGGAGAGCACCTGATTTCCCCACGCTTCCTCATGCACCTGCACAAACACAGACGTATGTCTATTGCAGCACAAAAGAACGCGGGTTGTGGGAGTTTGAATGGGAAGGCTTTGGTACCTGAACACTTGGTCCCCAGATGGTGGCCCTGTTTGGTGAGATCTAGGAGATGTGATCTTGCTGAAAGAATAATGTTTCTGGGGTAGCCTGTGAGGTTTATAGCATCACTCCACTTCTACTTATCCTCTCTCTCTCTCTCCTTCCTGTTTGCATTTAAAGATGTAATCTCTCAGCTTCCCTGCCACAATATGTCTGCAGCTTGCTGCCATGCTTCCCCAACATGATGGACTCCTTACCCCTCTAGAACCAAAAGTTAGCATAAGTTTCTTCCATAATACTCTTCTGGTTGCAGCATTTTATCACAATAGAAAAGTTAGTAATACGTGGATGAAGGCTATTCATGAGTCTGATGTTTGCTAAAAAGACTTTCAGTCACACCCTGTAAATTGTCTTCAATAGACATTAGCAAAATCTCAACACATTAGTTTCTAAATCTTTAGCACAAAATTATAAAAGCATGACCTCGTTGACGGCTACACAAGGCCATTCTCAACCCACTGTTTCCCTGCCAATTTCTAGTACACCCAAAAATTTTCAGTATTAATTTTCCCACTATCCTCTGCAGCTAGTAACTGTCATATTATCTATGGCTTTTGGGGAAAAGATTCCCCCACCCTCATGAGCTGGAGGATGTATAGGAAGAGAGCTATTTTGTTTCTAGCCTCCCTGCCTCCTTCTTGTTTAAACTTCATTTGAACAGATTGTATCTGGATCTCTTGTGGCCATTTGTGACTATTTCTGAGGTTCTGAGTATAAGAAGTCAGGCATCTGGTGGTGAGGATTGTAGGCGGGTAGTCCTTTGCTCTATGTCCAATATCCATATGAGTGAGTACACATCATCCTTGTCTTTCTGTGGTTGGATTACCTCACTCAGGATTGTTTCTTCCAGTTCCATCCATTTGCCTGCAAATTTCAAGATTTCATTGTTTTTTTTCCACTGAGTAATACTTCATGTGTAAACTACCACATTTTCCCCCATCCATTCTTCGTTTTAAGGGCATCTAGGTTGCTTACAGGTTCTGGCTATTACAAACAACGCTGCTATGAACATAGTTGAACATATGTCCTTGTTGTATGAATGTGCATCCTTTGGGTATATGCCCAAGAGTGGAATTGCTGGATCTTTTTTTTTTTTTTTGGTTTTATGAGACAGGGTTTCTCTGTTTTGGAGGCTGTCGGTCCAGCCTGGCCTCGAACTCACAGAGATCCGCCTGCCTCTGCCTCCCGAGTGCTGGGACTAAAGGCGTGCGCCACCAACACCCGGCAAGGAATTGCTGGGTCTTGAGGTTGACTGATTCCCATTTTCCTGAGAAACTACCATACTGATTTCCAAAGTGAGACCCTAAGAGAAAAATACACGGTCCCCTGAAGAAGGGGAAAGGGACAAGAACTCCTGAGAAAATTGGGAGCATGGAGGGGAGGGGGTAGGAAAAAGAGAAGGGGAGAAGAGGAGGGGGAGGAGAATGAGAAGGATCAGGAAGACTGAGTCGGGAGGGATAGAGGAGAACAAGAAAAGAGATACCTTAATAGAGGGAGCCAGTATAGGTTTAAAGAGAAATCTGGCACTAGGGAAATGTTCAGAGATCTATAAACAATACCCCAACTAAGAATGTAGGCAGTAGTAGAGAGGCCGCCTTTGACGCCCTTTCCCTATAATGAGATTGATGACTACCTTAATTTCCATCCTAGAGCCTTCATCCAGTAGCCGATGGAAGCAGAAACAGAAGCAGGCACCCACAGCTAAGCCATACTCCTGAAATCCAGTTGTAGAGAGGGAGGAGGAATGAGCAAAGGAGTCAAGATTGTGATGGAGAAACCCACAGAAACAACTGACCTGACCTAGTGAGAGCACAGGGACCCCAGTTGTAAAGCTGGGGAACCATCATTGGACCAAACCAAGCCCTCTGAATGTGGGTCCCAGTTAGGAGGCCTGGGCAGTCTATGGGACATCTAATAGTGGAACCAGTATTTATCCCTAGTGCACAAATGGACTTTGGGAGCCTATTCCCTATGGAGGAATACTATTTCAGCCCAGATACCAGAGAAGGGTCTAGGACCTCCCCCAAATGATGTAACAGACTTTGATGATCCCCCATGGAAGGCCTCATTATCCTTGGGGAGTGGGTGGAGGGTGGGTTGGGGGATTCAATGGGGGGCAAGGGAGGATGGGAGGGAGAGGGAAGGGGGATTGATATGTAAAATAACATTGTTTCTAAATAAAAAAAGTCAGGCATCAAGAAACTAATGCACCAACTGGAATGGTCTGTCTTCACATTTCTTGTTGGGAGGCTAATAAACCCTTGTATTACAGTCACTAAGCATTCTATTACTTTTAGTCAAACATATATTTTATGCATAAATAATTCAAAGATGTAAATTATGTGCCCAGTAAGCACTGCTATACTTTCTCCTTCCTGACCACTCAGATTTTCAGTAGGGTATCCTGATACATCCAGTGTAGCCAATGGAAATATATCCTGCCCATATTTTCAGAGACAATCACTGGTTGGTTTAAGACAGTCAATAAATTCTATTTCCCTGACCTTGAATGTGGATTGGGTTGTCTCCAACTCAAGTTGTCCAGCAAGAGTAAATCTTTGGATTCTTTTATGAATGCTGGGAAAGAAATGTTCTCTCACCATTTTTAAGGTTTTTTTTATATGTGTGGGTGTGTGTGCATGTACACAGTGACTGGAGATCAGAAGGTAGCACTGGATTCCAGGGAGCTGGAGTTACAAGCAGTTGTGAGTCGCCTGGGTATTGGAAACAAAACTCAGATCCTCTGGGAGAGCAGGAAGCACTCTTAATCCCTGAGCCTCCCCTCTGGTCCCTCTCTCACCATTTTTGATGATGCAAACGTGAATCCTAGAACAACTGTAGCCATTTTTCCACAAGCAGGCGAGTTAGCCTTTAGACCAAGTTGATACCACGAGGCTACAGGAAAGTTAAAGAAGAGTGATGAAATCTCTGAGATGCTGGGTCAGCTTAGCTTTGTTCTTGCAGTGGATGAACCTGTAAAACCCCTTTATTTTTTTCCTCTTTTGGTGTGTGGTGTTCATGTGTGTTTGTGAGCACATGTGGTAACCAGAGAATGATGTTAGGTGTCTTCCTCTATAGCTCTTCACCTTTTCCCGTTAACCTTATTTTTAGGGCAGAATCTCTTCACTATGCCTGGAGCCCACAGACTGGCTAGACTGGCTGGCCAGTAAACAAAGTTTAGGGATCCACCTATCTCCACACCCTCCTCACACACAAACATACACAGGCATGAGCCACTGCTCCCAACTCTTTACATGAGTTTTAGGGATGCAAACATGGGTCGTTACACTTGCATGGAAAGTTCCTTCCCCGTTGAGCCCTTTCCCCAGCGCATACGTGTCCTGTAGTAAAGTCAGTTTGACTTAGGTTTTCTGTTATTCGCAACTTCAGAAGTTGATCTGACTTTATAAGACACTTTCCTTCTGGACAGGTAGGCAATACGCTAAGAGGAAAAGTGAATGGAGATCTTTAAGAGGCAGAAAGAAACATAAACGCTTTTCTCTCACTATCTCAGCCATGTTGGGGATGTGTGTGATTGTGTATGCATCCTCTTCTCATCTAAGCTGGACACAACACATGTGCAAAACTGTCATATGTAATGTGCCCTACCTCTGCTTGCTTGGACTTGGAACAAGATGACCTGTGTATATACACAAAATAGAGGCCACTAAAGTGTCTGTCTCATAAGGAGGCTCTGAAATCAAATGGGATGTCTATATAGCTAACATGACTTGTTCATGGGAAACATTTAGCAAATAATGCTGGTTTTTATTTCTAAGACCCCCCCTTAATTGTCCCTCACCCTGCTAAATCTTCCAAATAATGGCTGAAGTGCCATCTGGTGAAAGCCCATCCCTCTTCTTTTGGTAAAGAGATAGAAGAAAAAAAAATCTCTCCAGATTTCCAAGATAGCCCCCAGAACACCTTAATCCACATAGAGATGGCCTGCTACACCCACCCTGCCTTTCAGAAACATCCAGGTTCTCAGGCTTTCCCAGTAAAGGTGTGAAAGATCTCCCAGTAAAGGGAGTGAAGGATCTCCATCCCAGGAATCTAGAACCAACCCTGTTTGTGACAGTGCATCAGCTCCAATGCCCGCAACAGGAGAAAGCTAACCTCCATCCTCCATCTCCCTGGAAAGGCCAGGTCAGATTAGACAATGTGGAGGAAGAAGCAGTGAGACAGAGGAGACCCCCACTCCCCAGGATTCATGAATCCGCTGGGTAGGTGACTTCATCTCAGGTCAAGGGTACTATTTAAAAGAACTATTTACTGATCACTATTTCCCATCACTGTAGAAGACTTAACGGCAGGGCCCAGAAAACTGTTCCAGCAACATTCTGAGATGACAGGACCTTAAAATGCCTCCTGGAGGCAAGTCAGAGAGAAAATTCTTAAGGTAACTGAGTGCAGTAAATAAGCGAGCAAAAAGAATTTGTCCTAATTGCCAAAAGGACTATGGCCAAGACTCCAAAGGAAAGGGGGCGGGGGCTGAAAAAGAAAGCAGAACCACTCTGATAAGAAGAGAAGGGATGTTCATTTTCAAGCAGGAGATAAGATACGGATTAAAGTTCATCCTCAGGATAGCAGAGCAAGAAACTTTATAGCCAAAGTCACTCCCAACCGGAAAGGCCCCTGTTGCTCCGATCTCTTTGAATTATAGGGAAAACTAATTGGATCTTCATGTTTACCATGGAGGAGAGCAAGTGCTATTCAGGATGTAAATCCTGGAGGTACTTTAAAAGGACAACAGTGACCTTTACAAGCCTTTAAACTTATAGATCTGTAAGGAGAAAGAAATTGATTTCCTGACCTTTGACCGGTCCCTCATCATTTTTTCCCCTCCACCCAAGGGCCCCCAGCCCCATCACTCTCTTCTTGGTGTTATTTTTCTGACTGCTCTCTCTATCCCCAGTCAGTCCCAGAGGAAAGGAAAGGACTGCTGTCCAGTCTGACCCAGAGAAAGGCCAGTCTGAGGAATGACTCCGCCACCGCCACCACTGACCCAGATGAAGCCTGAGCCTCCCACGGGGTCTCCTGTCGGCAGAAGCTAGTGTCTCTTCTGCAGACGATAAGGTGAGCTGCTTGCTCAGGCACACACTGCATGCTGGGTACTGTGGTCAGATGTGAGTGCATATTTATCTTAATTCAAACACACAGCAGTCCTACGAGGTGGGGAATCCATTGTCTGCACGCATCTTTTTCTCTTCTCAAACCAGGAAACTCCCACTTCCCAGGCAGTTTCCGTTCCCCTTCTGCCTGTTTTCTTCAGCCCATCTCCCCTCAGAGGGGAGATAAGTGGAGATCTATAGAAAACAGACAAGTTGGACTAGATTTGGGGGCTGCAGGGACAACGATTTTAACAATGGAGATGCTGAGAGTAAGGGAAAGGAAAGGAAAGGATTCCTTCCAGGCACAAACGCCAGTAGGCTCCCAAGATGCAAAGCATCCATGCCAGCCTCGCCCACGGAACCATGGAGCGTTTTTCACTCACTCACTGAAGTCAGGGTGAGTCATCACCCTTTGGGATGAAGGAATTCCCCAAGAGTTATCTGGAACCTTCCTTTAGTGTCAGCATCCACGGGGCAAAGAGAGGGAAACTCAGAGGTCACTATAGGAGTGACAGGGACAGAAAAAAGGGCATGGTCCAGAGAAAACAGCAAGTGTGGGAGTGGGGGAGATAAGGGGCATAAGAAGATGCTTACCTTAAGGTGACCCTTCTTAAAGTAGAGAAGGGCCCACTCTCTAGCATGCAAATGAGTGATAGCCATGTCTCCTGCTTTTAGCTATTTGTTGACCACAATCAAGATTTTTGTCACTTTTATGAATCATCTGTACTGTCATTTTCTTAACAGCTCAGGTCTACATGTTAGAAATAAATGTAGATGTATTTAAGGAAGAAATTTGAATCAATAGTGTTAAGTTGAAAGTCTCCAATGAATGGAAGCCTAACAACAAAACAGTAAAAACAGCAGCACTATGGAATTCCCATTATTGACTGGCTGTCTTCCCTGGCTTTGGGAGACTCTATCGACTTCAACTTCCTTCATGGGTCCTCAAGTAACAGAACAGTCACACCCAGGAAGGCCGGTTCTGTGAGTCTGGGTGATCACTTCTCAGGGGCTGCTTCCCTCACCTGTAAATTGGTAGTGTCTTAGGGTTTCTATTGCTGCGATGAAACACCATGACCAAAAAGCAAGTTGGGGAGGAAAGCGTTTCTTGGGCCTACACTTCCGGATCATGGTCATCATTGTAGAAATCCAAACAGGAACGTAAGCTGGGCCGGAACCTGGAGGCAGGAGCTGATGCAGAGGGCATGTAGGGGAGCTGCTACTGGCATTCTCCCCCTGCTTGTCTCAGTCTGCTTTCTTATAGAACCCAGGACCACCAGCACAGTGATGGCACCCCCCACCATGGGCTGCGCCCTCCCCTACTGATCACTAATTGAGACAATGCCTTCCAGTTGGACCTCATGGAGGCGTTTCCTCAACTGAGGCTCCTTCCAGTTTATGTCTAGTTGATATACAAAACCAGTCAGTACAGGGAGTCAGACTAGATAATGTCTGTAGTCATTTTATCAGCGTGAGAAACACTTACCTCTGTAACTTCTAAGTCAACCCACATCAGATCCAGGACACAGTGTAGGACACAATTGTAACCAGAGTGAGCCATTGGAAAGGGATAGAGAAAGGGGTACTAGCTGTGACTG